ATCACCTAAATCCAAGCAACCACTACCTAACAACATGCCCATCCATTCATGCTTATGATCCACACCACACACTCACTACAATAATATCCTTTCCTCCACACCCTTTTTATTATTGTCTGCATTTTCCTCCCTGCCTCTTCATGTGCCTATCTCATTATTTAATCATAGACATCTCACCAAACTTTCTCAACTTTTCCTACCCGCTACATTTTTGCTAATATGCGCACGGTGCTCTGTCCTGCTTCCATGTACCCGTCCTTGTCACGGTTTGGTACCCTCAGACCCACCGTGGCCCTAACCAATTAAAACACCTGCTCCACACCATCACCTAACCAACCACTAATCAATAACCCTCACTCCTTCCCAATAAACCCTTTCACTCCTTCATTCTATCACCTTCTCATTAACTTATTCCAAGTCCCACCTAGTGTTATCTTATACCATCACCAAACATCTCTTTTTCAACCTTGCAACTTCATTACACATAAAACAAGAGACTCAAACTAACTAGTTAATATCAGACCATTTCTGCCCAACCACATGACCCAGTTATGTAATTCGAAAATTTTGCACCAACCACCAAGTGCTATCTACACTTGTAGGGTAATAGGGTCTTAGGTCTCACTCTGCTGCTCCTCAGTAATGCCACTGTCCCATGCATATCTTCAAAATTAAAACAGGATAACTCTTGCCTTTTTCTTCTGCTAATTCAACTCCTCACTTCATTTTCTTCTGCATATCTTATCCACATGACTATGGTGGTTATCTAAGACAGAACACACTTTGTCTTTCTATTACAGTAATAATGGTGCAAGCAGATTTAGATTCAAAGATGAAGTTAGTCCTCAAGTACCATTGATTGTCGTTTAGTGATTATTGTTGCTTATAATCAGTAAAAGAATGAAAGATTGATGCAGTTCATACTTAATCCATGAGATTAGAAAATATAGACTAAAAACAGTGTAAAATGAATACAGCATAACCCCAACAAAGATCATTGTTGATGCGCTTTATATGATTAATCATCCCTTTTTTTCTAACCGATAATAACATCATGGAATCCATGGATTTTTCCACGAGTGTTCCATCATGATGTAAAAGTCTGTCTAGTTGAGATCAGAGAGAAGAATTAGGGATTAAATCAATCAATTAATGGGGGGATTTTCCTTAAAAAAGGATTAAATTGAATTAGGGAAAGTGTTGAAATATGAGTTCAGGGTTTGTTGACTAATGACTGCGAGTAAGGTTAGGGAGTGGTGGGACCCAGAGGTGATTGACGGTGGTTTAGGCCGGACCCACCGCCGCAGCATCGCACATGTGCCTACGTCGGACGGCTACCAACTACCCCTCGAAACATACATGAGTTGGTAACGTTAACGGGCCCACACCAAAGGTTGGTTACTAAAATCAATAATAATGCTATTTTTTTTTGGATTATATAAAATATGTAAATTTGTCTCAACATTATTACTAACTTCAAAATATATTATAATTTAACAGGATTTAATGAGTAAAAATAACTATTATTATCTAATCAAAATTAATTGATATTGTTTTATTTTCTGTTAATAGGTTTCAAATTAAAAATATTAGTTATTTTTTACAAATAAAAATTTTATGAGATTAATTCATTTTTAAATTAAAATACTCAGTATTAATATAGGTGAAATGAAAAACATTTAAAAATGATATATACAAGAGGAACTTTATTAAAAATTAAATTATTGGTCTCTAAAAAATATTAATGACTAATTTAGAAACTAACTTAAACTCTATTCAGATTTGTTATTTTATTTAGTCAGCATATTGGTTAAATATGTTTTTTTAAAGCTTATCTTGAAAATATTTAAAAAAAAATGTTTACTTTAAGCGATTAGGACAAAGCATTGTCCTAATTTCAGTTCGAGCTGGTACTGCCAACCCCAGTTTTAGCAAACTATACCTCCCACTGATACATGTCAAACTCACACATTCATCTTGTTCCTATTTGTTAATGTTAACGACGAAAGCAAAATGTTCCAAATTTTTGGGAATGGTACAAGTCACGAACCATGGGTCAATTTGAAGGAGGAAGCCTAAGTAAGATTATGTCCAACACCTTACACAGATGCATCTTCTTAATCTCTTCTTTTTCTGTTCCCTCCCTCCATTTTAGAAATCCTTGTGCTTGTGAGCGTGAATATACTGATAAAGAGTATCACCACAGTGTAAAAGGGTAGCAAAGCCAAAATATGAAGTGGGAAAGAGAAAAAGAGAAGAAACAATGAAGCAATAATTAAGATAGCAAGGCCCAGATTTAGGTAGAAAGGACCCCAGGGAATGGCCATAAAGTGTACACATGTGTGATGCTATTTATCAAGTTGGTTAAGGTAGTGTCAACATTATTATTATTATCATTATTAATATTATGTGATCCATATGTACATGCAGAAGCAGAAGGTAGAAAGAGAATTGGATAAAGTACTTGCACCAAAAAATGGCTTATGTAAGGCATCCTTGTCCATAATTTAGTAATCTCCAAGGTGCTCTCTCTTGATGTGGTGAGGATCTAGAGATGAATCCAAATGGACCCACTACAAATCATGCATGTGAAGTGGGTGCAGGTTCAACCAATTTAACAATATCCATGGAAGTAGAGTAGAGAAGGAACAATAAGTAAGTACCAATCATCCCCAACCCAGTTCCTCTTTCACGCTCTAACAAACAAAGCAATTAATTCAAATCACGAGAGTCCCCTACCTCAGGGCACTCCTTGCCTGCGCTACCTATTCATAAAAAAAAAAAAAAAAAAACACTTTTTTTTGTGCGTGTGTGTGAGACTAGGTTGGCTTCAGAGCAGTGAAGAAATATATATATAAAATATCTTATGGAAGCTTCCAATGTCTCTACCTAACACTTTTGAAAAAGGAAAAAGGGATGGTTGAAAAGGGACTCTCCCCATTATCTGAGGGAATAGGAAGGGCTAGTTTCGGGATCTGATCTGGTTGGAAATTAGCTACCTCCACCTCCTCCTCTGTCTTTTCTTTGTGTTCCTTCTTATCTATTTCTAATTCTAATAAATTAGAAAACCCAGAAATAAATTTGAATTTATTCTCCAAAATATACATGAATGTCACAATCTTGAAAATGTTATTAGGTTGGGGAAAAACATCCCCATTAATCCAATGCACCCAGAACTGGCCAATCGAATCAAATTGGTCTGTGAGTGGCCCCATGACATGACCCTGAGTTAATGCGGCAGATAAAATTTGAATGGTTGGTAGGATCAATTTACTGCCACCTTTTAATGTGATTTATGCCATTTACCTATTCAAAACTTCCTCATATATCTATCTATCCATCAATCGTCAATACGCAATAATGTAGCTAGTAGCCACCTAGCCAGTATTCAGAAAGCATACTCTCACCAAGCAAGCACAAAAAAGTTCACAAACATAATCACGCAACTACCATTTTATCGCCTCAAACCACCACAAAAACATTCTTTAAATAACTAACAATGAATATGGACGTGGATTGAAAACAAGGGTGCCCAGTGTACACAACAACTAATTCAAGTTTGATTAACCTAACGAAACCAATTAAGTACCTAATTAATATAATTAATCATGCTCTACTTGATCCAGTACCTTCTAACTCATCAGTTTTACCTGTCTTTCGTTTCTCTCTGCTTTCATTGCAAATATGACATCAAGACGTATCACCAAATATAGAAGAACAGAGTGCATTGTGGATCTCTGTGCAAGGTAAAATAAAGTATGGGAAAACCTAGGTATGTTTGCATCTATACACACCAAAGTTAACCAGTTTGTTGGAGCATGGCTTCAATAATTAAATGTTAATGAGGTTGGTAGAAGGAACATGTGGTACTACGGATTCTGCTGCTTCATTCACACTTTTTACATAGTCTTGTATGTATCAGTACTTTATATATATATATAATATCTACACAGTATTGAGCTAGCTGTAACTCTGATAGAGTAGAAATCAGACACAAATTTACTCTTTTTTTTTTTTCAATTAACAAACAAGCCACATGTTTCAGTTCCCTCCACATATGAATACAAACATGTGATTAATTAAATATTCAAAGCATAAAAATTGCATAGATATAAAATAATGGGTAGATGAGAGGAGCATTTTTTTTATTATTATTTAAACTTAATTAGGTAACAGTGACACCATTAATACCATCTCAAAAATTTCTCCTCCAATCCCAGCTTATCCACTCACTGTTTGCGTATACATGGATGGATATATCTATCATCTCCCTTTTTCTTTTATTTTTCTCCATAAAAGACAAGCCCAAAAGCCTCCAAAAAGAATCTAAATAGAATTCAAAGAAGAAGAAAAAGGGGGAAATAAAGATCATCATCACCCACAGGCTCAGTGGCGTCTATAGTCTATATATATATATAACGCATGAATGCATACAGAATACTATTCATCATGAGATAAAACCAAAATCACAAGATTCATATATAATAACGTATATGGGGAGCAGAGACCTGTAATTGTTTGATACATCCATGTGAGGACTGGATTAATTATATATACTCAACACTGTAGCTACCTCAAGCCCAGGATGTAAATTAATTCATTAACAAATAGAAAAGAAAAAGATTAACTATGACCTGGGATGTGATGATGCAGATAAACCATTGAATATGCAGTAAAATATAATTAAAAGAGCTGTCATTACTCATCAATCGGAAAGAGAGACTTCCGTTGATTAAAAATGTTTGCAAACCCAAATCAAATAATATCGGGAAGAAAAGAAGAATGAGACTAATTCCAGATTAGAGGAGAGTAACAAGAAAGGGAATAATAATGTTCAACTGTACCGGAACTATATATTATGCGACTAATTAATTAATTAATTAATTATACAAATCAGAGAAGAAGAGAAGGGAAGAAATAAGGAGAGAAAATTCAAAAACTAATGAATTTCATTCTCTCAGTTCCCTCCAACAACACTAACTAATTGGTATGGCTCGGATTCATTTCATCTCCAAGCTGGTGCAATCCCAAACACCGTTGGTTTTCAAGCCCAAGAAATCATAAGCAGCAGCAGAAGCAGGAGGAGCGGAGCTGTTGGCAGTGACGGCGTTGGCGACGTTGCAGCTGCAATCCTTGCTGTTGTGCAAACCCAAACTGCAAACGAAGCAAAGATTCTTCTGAGGTTGTTGTTGGCGAGGAGGACTAATGGTTAACTCAAGGTTCAAGTCAGGGCAGCGTTCTATGATGGACCCTTTAACGACGCTTCCGTTACTCGAACTTGTCTCTGGTTCTTGTTTACCAAAAGATATATTAGTGGTAGTTGCAACCGTTGCAACAGTTGCAGCAGAAGCAGCTTCGTTTAGAGGTCTATGAGTTGCAGGGTCGATTCCTCTGTTCAAAAGCTTCCTTCTTATGTGAGTGTTCCAATAGTTCTTTATTTCGTTGTCCGTTCTCCCCGGCAATCTTCCAGCTATCAAAGACCACCTAAAACAACAATAGCAGCAACAACAACAACATACAACGTTGTTGTTTTGTTTTGATTTAGATAAAAAGATAAGATTTTGTATGGGACGAGAATATGAGATATGAGATGAGTTTGCTCACTTGTTACCGAGGAGGCTGTGAAGTTTGATGATGAGTTCGTCCTCTTCTTCGGTGAAGTTGCCGCGTTTGAGGTCGGGGCGGAGGTAGTTGATCCAGCGGAGGCGGCAACTCTTGCCGCAGCGGAGGAGGCCGGCGGCTTTTGGGAGGGAGCGCCAGCAGCCCTCACCGTGAGCTCGAATGTAAGATATAAGTCTGTCATCTTCTTCTTTGGTCCATGCACCTTTGTTTGTGTGAGCTTTCTCACAGCAAGGGGATCTTCCCATAATTAACTCAAAATTCAGTTGTGCTGTGAAATTTCTCTTTTTGCTCACTTTATAGATATGATATTATGTATGTAATATAAGTAAGGGTAGAAATTAGGATTGGCTTGCAGCAACAAAGAAAGAAGCCGGTTCAAGAGGGAGTTGGGGTGTGGTTTTATAGGCTTTTGACTCCAAAAGAAAGGGGACAGAACAGAGAGAGAGAGAGAGAGAGAGAGAGAGAGAGAGAGAGAGAGAGAGAGAGAGAGAGAGGAGAGAGGAGAGAGGAGAGAGGAGAGAGAAGGGAGACCCTAATTGGTGCTTCTAGATGCGAGTTGGTGAGACAGGTTAAAGAGAGAGGCTGTTGGCTCCTTCTCTCTCTTTCCTCTCCGTATCTGATGATATATTTATACTATATTTGCATCAATGATATAACTAGTTAAAAGACATTAACTATGGGTAACCTTCAGGTTGGTGTAAAGTAGAATGTATTAAAGTATGGGAAGGCAAGAAAAGTTGTGATCTCTTGCCCCTTTTTGGAAAAAAGAGAAACATATTTTATATCTCATACGCTTTACCCCTAATATAAAAGTTTAAACCCACGCTTAGCCTATTTTTATCTTGTGCTAAGTAAATAATTCAGTTCTAAATTCCCCCTCCAATAATTGCTCACTGAAATGTCAAGCTCTGGTTATGTGAGGATTAAGCTACCTCTTATTTAATCGTTTTAGTTTAGGATTAAAAAAATGGCTGTTTCGTTTACACTACATGTGACAGTGGAATCAAATTGAAGTTAGAGAGCCTTTTATTATTCGAAATTGACTTGATTAGGAGGATCTACCTACCTTAACGCATTTCAGTTTGATTCTTATTATTATCTTGGAATGTTACAACTTCTCATCTTTCTAAACCTTTTTTTTTTTTTTAATAAAAAATGTTACATGACTGAGCCATGTTTTTTTATTGTTTAAAAATACCCTTAACAAATTATTCAATTGTTTTGCTGTGGACAGCAACTAATGCAATGATACAGTAATATATGAGAATTTACACGAGAATAAGAACAAACCAATGCTATGTCTTAAACATAAGAGAAGAGGTTGATGTGGTTTAATTTCCCAAAAAAATTAGCTACTTGGGAAAGTTAGTTGAAACAGGCAAAATAAAACGGGAAAAGCATAGAGATGGTAATGGTAGTTGTGGTTCTTTAATCCATTGGTGCATTATCATGCTTGACAGATAGAGAGAGAGAGAGAAGGAGAGGGATCAAATAGACAAGTTTCTAGTTTCTAGAAGTGTTGGAGGGTGAGTTGAAGGAAAGATGTTGAAATAAGAGAAGTGGAGAAAGTGGAAATTGCGAAATGAGTGAGAGTGTGGTTGTGGTTGTGGTTGTGGTTGTATAGGGAGGGGGCTTTGGTTTACCTTCCACTTTTCTTTTTTTCTCATCCCCCAAACCTTGTGCTGCAAGTTTAGGAAAAGGTTGGGATTGGGGCATCATTCATCTTTTTGTTGTCTTCTTATTATAGTAGTTATCCACTACCACACATATATCCACTCTTTCTCTTTCCCTGAGAAGGTCAAGTGGATGGTAAGGGTTAATATTCATGGGTACAAGTTGCTTTCAAGGAGGAAGAGCACGATAGTAGGCAAATACTCGGTACACATGGGTGTAATTATTTGAGAGTATTTCACCCACCTTTTCATATTTTCTGACTGTACTTGCAATTCTAGACCAAATCCTCCCCTGTTCTATGTTCTAACTATGCCACATGATACATGAGTTTCGCTACCACACGCACAACTCTTAACACTAGAATTGGTGAAAACATCTCTCATCTCATCTCATCTCATGTTAACTGCATTGCCTTTTAATACACACTCTGTTTTAGTGCAAAAGAAATTGATGATTAGCATGTAATTGTATTACCTAACTAAATTTCACAGGGTAGCCAATAGATGCTAAAGTTAGGAATAAATAAAAAAATGATGACGAAAGGCGAAAGAAAGAACACACATGAATAAATTGAGGATGATGGAATCCAATCGATGGTCGCTATCAGTTGGGTGTAATTATTAAAAGAGATGAGGAAACATATAATGGGGTTCTTAGCTAACCACAAAAGGAGGAGCAACCTAAGGCTTCTCTCCGTGGCTCTCCCCAATTGCAAACACTAGTCAAGTCACATGGGAGGGAGGGAAAATACGAATAATTGAAAGGAAAAGGGAGTCGTCTAATATACTACTACATATAGAGGAAGAGACTGTGGCGTACGATTTGCATTTACATGATTGGTGATAGCCAGCACAGCACAGCAACACGAGTTTGTCATGTGCTTAGGTACTCGTGGGAGGTTGTCCTAACTTCTAAGAGCCCTTACCTACCTCTTTCCCTCTCCTCCACATGCGCCTTCCTCGACTTCATCCTCTTCTGCTCTCTCTATATAGTCCATAACATTTAATATATACGTATATTATCAATAACCTTCCTCACAAAGGAGAAAACTTCTTGAAAACTTCTTGTAACAGTATTCGCAGACACCTACCGCAGATTCCGATATATCTCAATCTCACTCTCACCTTCTCCTTCTCCTTCTTCTTCTTCTTCTTCTTCTTCTTGTGTGCATACCTCTTCCTTTTTCTTCCTTTTACTGTTTTTCGTTTTTATACTATTCAAATACCAAATGTTGTCCTCCAGTCTATAGATTTTCAATTCAACATACGTGAGGTACTCCAGGTAGAGATGGAGATACCACATCTTCATCCAAGGAAATCAAATAGACCTCCACTCCTCAATTGTTCATACAGTTAACGAACCAGATTCTATGATATCTTCATTATATTCAACACTTGCTGGAAAATATTTTTTTTTTAATTATTCTTAAATTAACTAAATTTCTTCTCGTATAAATTAACTGGATATTCAATCTAACTGAGTTTAATCTAATTATATCTGATAATAAAAATTCACATTCATAATTTATGATATAGTTTTTATATTTATTATACAATACAAAATATATAATTCATAAGGAGATAAATTAATATTTGATTGTGTATAACTTTATAACAATTATGAACAAATGAATTGAGTGAGTATATGGGCAGGTCTAGCTTCCTCTAACCTTTCAGTGAATAACACGTAACTGGGAATGTAAAAATTTGTATTAACGTATTATGACGTTGCTCTCAAATTGAGTATTCAGGGATATTTTTGGTCTAATCATATAAAAGTCAGAATGGCTGTAGCATTATTCTTTATTGGTACTAAGTAAACAGAAACTGGAGCTGCAAAAAAGAACCCTGTTTGGCCTTCATACAAGAGAGATGAATTAGTCCGAGTCTACTTCCCCCTTTTGCGAACTTCATACAAGTAACTGAGGATCACCACAGCGGCAGTAACTACAACTCCGACAGCACCTTGTGCCAGTATAGTCCCATCCTTAATCGAAATCGCCTTTGAACTTGGCACGAAGCCTAGCTCTGAAAGCTTCTTATGCGATTCAGCATAATCTCTAAAAAATGCATCCTCGTCCTGCCAGGTTGACACGGTTTAAAAATATGAAACAATAGACAGATTCAAACAATTCAATGATGCATTTACAGCAGCCACATCTTTGCTGCACATATTCATGCTCTTAATTTTCTTTCATGGAGCAAAACATAAATGTCTTAGACGACAGGGACACCAATTACAATGGTCTGCGCACGTGCAATATAGAAAACACAATTCAAATAGAATACCACTTTCAGAATAATATCACTAGACTACCCCCACCTTTTAAAGGGGAGCGGGATAGTTGATGCTCATTATTATACACTTTTAATATAATTATTGATTATTTACAGTTCGATTTATAATTTTTATATTTTTATTATTTAATCAAATTCATGGACCATCAAATCAAGGGGGCTAACTCCGTCGTTTAAAAATTATGTGTTCAACTCCTCTTGAAAAAGAAAATCATATTGATGGGCCTAACCCTCTCCATAACATTTTCAAAATCTTTTTTCTCTCTTATTTTTTTGTCTCATGTGGCGTGCCCTTATTTGAAAGCACACAGGGAGTTGCAGAAGCACAACCCTCAAATCTCAATCCCTTATTATTTCTCCTGCGACAGAAATAGAATGATGGACTTGTGAGTTAGGTAAACATCGTCATCTTCTTTTTCTTTAGTCTAATTCAGCCATTGATTTATTATAACTTCCAAGTCTCTGCCATTGTTCAATAACAAATTCACGCTTATGACCTAAAATTATTTGAAGGTTTTTAGGAAATTACCGTGTCCGTCTCTATTGTACCAAACCGATGGACCATGATTAAAAATTATACTATTTTTTATGATAATTGCTTAAGATTTCAATTAAATAGGTAATATAATTATTGTAGAAGTTGAATGTGATGCAGCAAAAATTCTAAAGGTCCAATGGCTGCAATTCATTAGACTATTAAATTACAGTTGTAACTATCTTCTAATTTATATAAATATGGAAACTTGAAAGCCATGTTTGTGTAAAATTGTTCTACGGTTGACCACCTCAATAATCTACGTCTAGCTCTCTGTCCCTGGCCAACAGGCATGTTAATTAGTCTTATGTAAAAATTAGTTTCATTAATCTAAAAAGAAAGAAAACAAGGACAATGTATGGTCAATTCGGTGGTAAAGTAAGTAGTTTTATTTATACCTGACCAACCAATGGAGAAAAGGTCAATATCACATTGAATAAGTTAATTTGTTGCTTTTGCCACCCAACTAACACAATGGCAAAATACCAATTTAACTTATGAGTGCCAACATAGCATAGTAAACTCCAAAGCACAACGCTTACGGTGAAGAAGGTCCTACTACCAATCGCTACTTAATGAGCTCAGGCCAAAATATTTTTTCTTATGTACAACGCTGGCAATGTCGCAATGAGAATAGAACCTACTACCTTTTGAACACTACACAAATCCCTCACCACTACACCAACCCTAGGCCAAAAGATTGATCTAATAATTAATGCAATAAGCTTACGAGCTTAATGGTGCTTATAGTAAACAAACAGACCGATGAAATACCAGTGAGAAACAATAATTGGTAATTTGGACACGGCATCAAACAGATTTCAAATGGTGGTTATTTTGAATAAATCTCAATTACCTTTGCATATAGTTCAACATAACGGCGAAATTCAGGATCCTCCAATAAAGCCTTGTCTGTTGGAAGTTTGAGCAGCGCAGCATAATCGTCTCTCAAAAGTTCCCTGATGTTAACGGTGACATTCAGTTATAGATAAAAATCAAACTCTTTCCATATTGCCAGGCACTAGAGAAGCTCTACAAAATGTTTTTGTACAAAAGCAAAAATGATAATATTACACAACAAGAGTCTTACACAAAGTATGAGTTATCAAACTTTAGAGGGTCCTCTGTCCAAGGTCCATCAAACCCTGATCTCTCTGGATGTGCTCTCCCCTTATAAGACCACAGAAAATATGATAAGAACATCTAGTCATAATTACAGCAAGTAATAAAAGAGATATTACACAAAAGGAGAATTACCAGCGTATGTCCTCCAGACAGTGCAACAATATCTCGATCATTCAAGCCCATTCGATAAAAGATATCACGGAGATGTGAAAAACCTACCAACACAGCATTGACATATTCTTATGCTTTCATTAACATTCTCAGCCACGTCCATTGCGAAGGGAATACAAAATGTATAACATTTTTAGCCGTTCAGGAGAAGAAAATAGTTCTACTACTGACAAAATTTAAAAACACACCTAGTTTAGCATCAGGAAGCCGCCCTTCTTTAGGAGATACTTTTGAATCCTAAAAGAATATAAAATACATAAACTAAGATTCGGTGATTTCATAACAATAAATATTCTGATTAAAGGTATGGCACAACATACCTTTCTACCAGGAACAAAATCAACTGTGGGACCCCCGGTAACCTCAACTGCAACAACACCACCTAGCTGAAAGCACAAAGAGAAAGAAATGATTTTTAAGCAGATTGAAAATCTATAGGGCAGTTAGTTTAATTCTCTACTTAAGGATGTGAATCTTGTTTTGAAGAACATATGTCCTATGAGTGATAATCTCCTCCCTCTCTGTTTCAAATAGAATCTGAACGCATGCACTCATTGGCTTTAATTGCCTTGTGTGTCATATACCCAAATATCCAATAAACGCTTGATTCTGAAATAAACTATTACCGAAACGTTAAGGGAAACTTTGATTTTCAGAATAACAAATTGCCGACATATGCTAACCGTAAACATTAGCACTTAAGTGTATAAGAAAATCTAGTCAAATGGCCTTCAACTTCGTCGTAGAAATCATAAGCACTAACGTTAACTATATGCATATCAGAACTAACTACAAAATAATTTAAACTAATAAAACTTGAAACGCATTCCATTAACTAACAGAGGAGCTTGAGCTTTCATTGTACTCCTGTACGCTTATGAACTAGCAAAATCTAGGTGTAGTACCACTCTTAATCCGAAATTGATGTAGCTACCCATAATTCTTATTTTAGGAATTTTTCTCCTCCCTTTTGTGCCGGGAAACATTTATTAGTAGTATGAAAAAAGGACGTAAGTGCCTTTAAAAATAATACCTTCCATTCACCACCTTGCAAACACCCTAAAATCCTACCAACCTTCGAAATCTCCTCTAAATCTACTAAGTAAAGAAAGAGAAAGAATAAAGAACAATTTGTTCGAGGACTCTGATTCCCATTATGCAGCCGTTGTGGCACTTATGTAGCAGATCTTTTTATGTTTTTCAAACATATCAAAAGCTGTGATGTGGTTGTGAACACAACCACGAACCACAATATCACAGGCGCATCAAGGGATGTAATTTGGAACGATCAGTAATCAGAGTTGTCAAACATTATGAGAGCATGAGTCTTAAGTGTAACAAGGCACTGCCTCACTGGGCTTGATAAGTCTGTAACTTTAAGATTCAATCAACGAACTCGTACTGAAATTTAATCATGATCAGGCAAAAAAATAGAAACAAGAGTCATAAAACTACTCCACCTAACACTACGGAAAAACCGAACCCGAGGAAACATCCACGAGATTTGTGTCAAAAACAGCGTACAAAAAGGCTAACTGAATTAAAAGTGGCCCCTGAATCAATTATCAATTAAAAGTTCCTGAACCCCATTCCATAATTTTCACTTAACGGTTCAGTACAAAATTATTAGATTCACTACAGACTTTCATAACAAACAACTGAATGAAAACAGAATGATCACCTGGTAAAGATCTGCATATGTAATCTTAGGATGTTTTGCCTTCACTTCCTCTGTGACATAAAAAAATAAGCCAACTCTTAAAAAAACAAGGAGACCCACATAATTCCAACCAGTGTTACTATTTTGGTAAAAATATCCTAAGCGCGTTAAACTGGAATAGGTTCCATTCAACACAAGGCAAGACCACGACAATATACAAATCAAATTCAAGCCTATATGTCTTGTTATAAATTCAATACACAAAGTATGTGCAAATAGATAAGCACAAATATGCTGCCAGGTGCTGCTAGCTAGAAAAATGAAAACGAGTATTAAATAGAATGATAATTTCAGGAAAAGATAAAAGCGAACGAAACAAGAAAAAGCATACCGCAAAAATCAATAGCCTTCTTCAAGCCATTGTTGGAGCCGTGAGAATACTCCTCCTCATTCCGGATCGAACCGTTAGGTCCACCGGTCTTGGTTTTGGCATCGTAAGTGCCGGCATCGTGCCAGCTGCAACAGATTAAGCAATTTCAAACACGGAAAAACGAAATACAATTGCACGATCGCAGCGTTGACCGTGTACGAAGCGAAAACTGGAAACCTAAGTATTAACATCGAAGTGTTTGATTGGGGACAAATAAGAGAGATAGAGAATAAAAAGAAGAACATACGCCAATCGAAGCATGAGAGGAGCGCAGTTCCTGTTAGCGATGAGTGCGCGGAGATCGCGACGAGCCTTGTCGACATCCTTGAGGTACTCTGCGTCGACCACCACCGGCAACGCCATAGTGTCAACAACGGATAACGGATTCTGTCTCGATAGATGCAAAGGGAAACCAAATACGGACGAAGCAAACCTCACTGCACTTACTGCTAAGTGATAACTTAGAATGCATTGAATTGAATGAATGGATAATTGTTTTGTATGTATGGGTGGTGCTCTTAATACCGTACCATCTTCCCACGCCTTCCCAATTCTCTATTGCCACGTCACATTTCTCTGTTCCCAACTCCTACGAATCAAAATTAGGAAGGGACAAAATCCATTTCCTTTTTTCTTTAACATTTTTTTCTTCTAAACGAAACTATACATTATTTTATTGAATAATTTCAGTTCTTTTACGAATAAAACTAATAAAAAGGTGCTACCAATTATCAGAGAGAAAGTGCCCGATTTTCTTACCCTCTGTCCAAAATCATTTAATTGTGTATTTAAATAAATCCTGAAAACTTTTTTCTATATACGGTTTATAATTTCATTTAAAAGTTAGACTTAACCAATAAAATTTTGTGACAGTTTCTTTCACAATTTCCCAAACTTCAAAGGTTTAAATATATTTTTAGTTTCTGTAAAATAGTATATTGGTTTTTATAAAAATATAGTTGTTCTTAATTTATGTAAAATTAAAATAATCTTTACAAAATGAATGAATATTGCTTTTAATTTTTATATAATATTTTTTCTTTTATTTTCATCGTCTAAAATCTGACATTATTATTTTTGGTTCATAATATTTATTTTGAAATTAATAATATTTTAAATGTGTCAAATGTCTTGATATTATATTACAAAAATAGTATAGTTTGGTTTGACATTTTATTCAACACATAAACAATTTACTAATATTAATAGGATAAAAAATAATTATTTTTAATTATAAAGAAACAAAAACCGACAAAAACATTATAAGGAATCGACATCATTTTTTTGTTTTTTTTACAGTAACGTTAAAAACATATTGAAGTCATTTTTAAACAGATGGCCAGCTAATCCTTTGAGGTGACCTTTTTGTTCATCATCCGTATAATTTTGCTTCTAGACCAATACTTGAAAAACTTAAAAACTATATAGAAACAATTTAATTAATTCATTTTTGGTCTTTTCTTATAACTATTGTGTTTTGGTTTTAAATTTCGAACAATTCTCAAGTTATTCCGTCACTTTTCATATATTCATATTTTTTTTAAAGTAAAAGTATATTTGTACATTTTTCACATTCATATTTTTTTAAGAATAGAAATATATTTAAGCAAAAGTATTAAAAAATTACAAATACTAAAATTACCTATTGTTTCGGTGAAAATTTGATTGATTTCGATTTCTTAAGTTCAATCAAATTTCAACCACGTAGATTCTTTTCACTCAGACTAGCGACAATTTTCAATCAAAATGTGTATGGTAATCGAAAATGTCACAAGATCGAGAAATATTATCGATGCAACTGATCATACAAATTGAAAATCAAAAGTGCTCTTTGGTATTTTATTAAGAAACGCGAAGTAAAGAAAATAGTAAAAAGTATCGAAAAGAAAACAAAAGCAGTGTGAAATATTAGAATACAGGAAATTGTAAATACGAAAAACTCGGAATTGTATTAACTGTAAATAACAGAATTACAATTGCATGAAAGTAAATGGCAAGACATCGAAATTACAGAAACGGTAAATGACAAGCATTTGAAAATACATAATCTTAAATTGCATTAAAGATAACTGACAAGTAATTGAAAGTATGGGAACTTAAATTGATGAATGTAAAATACCTGAAAATAAGTTACCAGGGAAAGTAAAAAAAGCGGTAAAAACAGTCAATGAGAATGGAAATCCAGATCGCCAGAAACTTCATGATTCATCGTTCTCCGGTAGACTTTTCACTTGTGTTTCTGTTCTCTGTCAATTTCCCCCTTCTTCGTCAAGCTTCGTTCTATTTATAGGCATCCTTCAATGTAACCTCCCAAGAGCAGTTAAAAAACTGTCGTCACGTTCCATATGCACGTTCCTCGATTATTATCTCGAACAAATTCATTTTCTTTTCAGATAATGTTGTAAATATCCCCACAGTCCAAGTCCAAGATTCCCCTTCGCCATCTTTTGCAGAGCAACCAGTTTCCCCTCCTTTTGAGGTTCCGTCTATCGAGTTAATCTCATCGACATTGCCTGAAATAAGCGATCCTACCCCAGAGGATTTGCCAGAATATCGAACTGCTATTCAAGAAGATCCTTTCTCAATTCTCGATATTCTATTATCTGAAGATGTCACTCCTTCAAACCACTCATCTAAACCACCCGCGATATCGACTGAAGAAACACACCAACTGATACAACAATTTAGGTCTTTCTTCTATTCTTCACCCCTCGAAGTCTTGGTGGAATCGCGCGAGAAAAAACAACTTTTCCAAGAAATTCTTACTTCTATAGAAGCATTCCCTGATGACGCACTTCCAAAGAGTTTTGACACTGAAGTCGCAACGATCACCGATTTATTTAACAAAACTTATGCTACAAAGAAGAAAAAACAATCTATAGCGACCGAGTTGGCTAGCATTTCTTCCTTCCAAACTGAAAAATCGAACTTGCTGAAAACTTAAAAGCTCAATCTTGAAGAGGCGTTGAAGGCCCAATCTTTGGTTAGAGGTGAGATCAAATAATTGGAGAAAAGACTTCAGCAACTTAGATCACAAGATGATTTCCTCACAACAGAAGTGAATTCGATCAAATCCTCTGCCAAAGAAGTGGCAGTTTCTTTGGGACAAAGCATGGAGCGCAAACGAAAAGTGATTGTCGAAGAAAATTCAAACTTCTCTTCTTGGATGCAATTGTTAATAGACTTTGATCAACTTAAATCTTAATATTTAACTTTGTAGAACATATTGTAGAACATATTATTTGAATTAATGTTGAATACTTATTTCTCTTATTCGAGGTTTATAGTCCTTCAAGTATTTTCCATTTATCGACAATATTTTCTCTTTATTATACCAATCAACAATTGAATAAGCATTACTCGATAATACTTTAACAATTTCAAAAGGTCCTTCCCAATTCGGCGACCATTTACCATAACTTTTACATTTCTTTTTCATCGGCAAAATCGTTTTCCAAACTAAGTCACCTTCACTAAATGTTTTATGTCGAACTCTTTTATTATAAACTCGAGCGATTTGATTCTTTTGTAGAATAATATTATTCAACGCTTGCAATCTTATTTCATCGAGTTCATTTAATTCATCGTACATCAAGTTCTAATAATCACAGTTTGGTAAATCATTTTGTTTTTGTATTCGAGTTGACTCAATATTTATTTCGATGGATAAAACGACATCATGCCCATAGACTAACTTATATGGAGTATTCTGCAAGGAATCTTTCGGCGAATTTCGATATGCCCACAGAATTTGTAATAACGTTTCGTGCCAGGTTTTTGGTTTATTACCGACATGTTTCTTTATTAAACCAATAATTACTTTATTAATTGCTTCGACCTACCCATTAGCCTGAGCATAATATGAGGTTGATGCTAATAACTGAATATTTCTTGATTCGGCATATCTAACCATCTTTTTACCATTAAAAATTGTCCATCTATCAGTGGTAATAGATGGTGGTATCCCGAATCGATAAACGATGTATTCTTCAATAAAATCAATTACATCTTGTTAATCGACATCTTTTAACGGAATTGCTTCTACCCATTTCGAAAAATAATCGACAGCTACGATTATATATCTATGTCCCTTCGATGACTGTGGAAAGATCTGTCCGATTAAATCAATGGCCCAACCTCTGAAAGGCCATGGTTTGATAGTCGAATGTAGTTCGCTAGCAGGAACTTGTTGTATAGGACTAAACTTCTGACATTCTTCGCAGGACTTAGCATACTCGATACAATCTTTTAAAATCGAAGGCCAGTAATATCCTTGTCGAGTTAACATCCATCTCATCTTCTGGCCTACCATATGGGCACCACATATTCCATTATGTACTTCAGCCATTGCTAAATAAGCATTGTCATTCCCTAAACATCTAAGTAATACTCCGTCGATACCTCTCTTATATAATTCATCATTCAACAAAACATATTTTACTGCTCGATATTTAATTTTCTTGTCGATTCTCCTATTTGGATTTTGCAAATAGTCTATAATCGATTTTCTCCAGCCTTGATCATCTAAGTCGCCAATCTGTAAAATTTCACTTTTTTTGGGTAATTTTTCTTTTATTTGAATCATTTTTTGTAAAATTTTCAGAGATATTTTATACTTAGATGCGATTTGCACCAACTCATTGGCTTCCCGATTGAACTCTCGGGGAACATATTTGAATGTTATGTCATCGAACATTCTGCTTATAGTCATTACTCTTTCTAGATATCTGAACAAATTGGTGTTGATACATTTATACTCTTTCTGTACTTGTTTGATCACTAATTGTGAATCACCTCTTATAATTACATGTCGAGCTTTTAACTTAATCAAAGTCTCGAGACCTGTAATCAAAGCTTCGTACTCAGCTTCATTATTCGAACAAATGGGCTTAATTTCAAATAATAACTTAGTCGGGATATTACTTGGTGAAATGATAAGAATTCTCACTCCTGATTTGTCTGATGTACTCGATCTATCGAAATACATTATCCATTTACTTATTTCAATAAATAAATTATCAATTGAGTTAACTGTATGGTCTGCCATGAAATCGGCGATAATTTGGCCTTTTACTGATTTCAAAGATTCGAACGATAATGAAAATTCTGTCAAAGCTAGCACCCATTTTCCTATTCGATTATGCATAATAGGTTTCGACACAAGAAATTTCAAAATATTATTTCTGGAATAAACCATCACATCGTGAGGCTTCATTACATACTTGAGTTTCATACAAGAGAAATACAAGCACAACCCTAACTTTTCGATATCATTGTATCGAGTTTCAGCATCATTTAAGATTCTACTTAGATAATAAACAGCACATTCCACACCATTATTATCCTCATGTGCTAGTAGACTG